TTGCGTAGGCTGCAAATGAACAAGTAAAGGTTTATTCCATGCTGAAAAGAGAAGAAAAGAAACATTTCAGCTGTGGAGCCTTCTTCAGCCAAAACATTTATTTTCAGCATGGAATAAACCTTTACTTGTGAATATAATAATGTTGATTTAAGCTAAAGAAGTCCAATCAGCTAATTGGCAGAACTGGACTAATTTAACTTCTCCCAGCAGTTCAGGTGCTGAAGCTAAAAAATACCTAAAATTCGTCATGGCACTCTTGATTTAAAGCATAGGTCCTCAATCTTGCTTTCTGCTGACCACTGATTTTATTTGGTTTTCATTCCAACTGAGCTCTTATCGCCAAGGTTTACTGAAATTGTAAATTAACATTTTCTAAATTGGTTCTTTGTTTAGATACTTCCTCCCTTCAAGCCTGGTATCAGAAGCTCACAGTTGTATTAGTGCCAAGTCTGTTTTCAGTTTGGTTAATAAGCTGGTGATCTGACAGTTTAGGTTGCCAATTAATAATGCACAGGATTAAATTTCTATTATTAGAAAGTCACTAATTCCTAGTAAGGAAACCGGCAGGCTGGAGCCTATCGTGGAAACACAGGATGGGACTTCAGTCCATCACAGAAAATGCACACAAAGGTGTCCAGCAGGTGTTCTGTACTTCATGAAATTCCCAGCTTAAATTGGCCAAATTTAACCTACTTTATGTAGTCTCAAGTTATTAAAGCATTAAAAATACCTTAAGTAAGACTATGACCTGGAATGAATCGGTATTGTTGTGTTTACTCTGAATATCATATGGTAAATAAAACTGACCAACTCGGCCTCTAACTGCCTCATTCAGGTTGGGCTTAATGCCCCACAGATACATGATGCAAATCTATGCTATATCATTAGCCACCTGTAGCTGCGATTCCCCAAGGAGAAAGAGACAACCGCCAGACCTCTGTAGGGCCTGAGTGGGCATGCCGACAGACAGCTGTGCAGCAACTAAGTCTCAGTGGGAGCCAGAGAGCTTGCAGCATTGTGAGTCACAGCTACATCAGGACTCATCTAACTCCTTAAACACTGCAAATCCTCCAGCAGAGCAGAACTTCCTTTTCTCTAATCTGATGTTTTGAGCTTCAGAAATCACTTCAAAGAGATATATCCAAGAAATAGAGCAAAAAGTATGCTGCATACTTAATAAAATTTAGTCTGAATAAAACACTTAAGAGAAATAATAGATCCTTCCATTGACAGTCTTTTCAGCACAAAAGATCCAAAAGCACTATCCACTTCTGAAGTATAGCCTCCACCTGGGCGACTTGTGGCAACTACTCCGCACAGCAGACCATGAAATAAAGTGTGACCCAAGCGCTCTACCAATTGAAACAAGTGGGAGGGTGAATTGTACAAATGCATTGTGAAACATATTGAGGACATGGAGATTGAATTCCCTTCACTTTCAAAAGTGCCATGCAAGTAGTCAGGGCCTTGATTTAACAATTCGGATCATTCAAAAGATGGCACCTCCTACAATGGGGTATCCCTGCCGACTACACTGAGACACCGGCATTGTAAATTCTACTGGCCCAACCAATAACCACTCACAGCAACAACTTGGGAGAACACCAAAGAAATCCCCCCCCAGTACTGAACGAGCCATCTTACTTAGCCTCTGAATTCTGATAAGATCAAGTTATATGGTTGTTACACTGCTACCATGATAATTCATTTTCTAATCCTCTTTTGCAGTTCAGGGTCATGGGGGAAGCTGGAGCCTAACCAGGCAAGCAACCAGTCCAAGGCAGGATACACCCTGGATGGGACTGGTCCATCACAGGGCACACACAGAGACACTCATACCAGGGCCAATTTAACAGAAGACAATTAGCCTACCATCATGTCTTTCAACTATGGGAGCTATCACCCAGAGAAATTCACCCATGTGAATATGGAAAGAACATACAAACTCCACACAGACAGCACCCCAGCTCCAGAATTGAACCCTGGGCCGGGTGCCGAGAAGCAGCAATACTGTGCCCCCATGCTGTCCACTAGCAGGACTAGAACTGGAAAAACCACATTTCAGCCTGTTCTCAGGTTTAAGTTCCATCTCAGTTCTTGGCTACTTTCATAAGAATGGTTTTGTGTTTAGGAGCTTTTTCGATCCAATGAGTAGTTATATCAGCTGCAACTACGTGGCTGAACAGCTCGTTATATATATCCCCTTGGTTGTTAGTCATCTTATATTTAACTGAGCTCTTAACTGATCTAACAGTTATTAGTTATTAAATGTTAATTACATAGTATTAATAACACAGATTGTCTAACTTTCCAGAAAGAAAATCCTGAAAAAGCTTAAATAAGGAAAGTGTTAGTTTCAGCCGAGCTCTCAGTTATCGACTTGAGCAAAAATGGGGGTCACAAGGACATGGACTGTGACTGAGAACACAGGTATGCTTTTTTCGGATCTTCTACCCTACTTCGAAAGAGAAAATTAAATGAAAGGAGTGGCCATACTATTTTAGAAGTCACCTGAATGCTACAAGTTATTTTAGAATAAAACACCAATTTTTCACAAATGACAAACCCTGAAGAAAGGCTCACTTGGCACTTATTAGCTGTTGTCACTCATGCTCTTTTACACTAATACGGCATCTGTTCATCATTCACCAACACTCAACAAGCAGTTTCAATAAAGTATAAGACATGGCAGACAGGTGGCTCCTAAAATGTGTTTGCAAGAATTTTATTAGAAATGTTAAGAAACAGCATGGTGCACATGTTAGCATTGTTCCCTCACAGAGCTGGAGTCCCGAGTTCAATTCATAAGCGGTACTATCTGCATGGAGATTGTATTGTTTTCCTGTGTTTTTCATGGGTTTCCTCCAGTACTCTGGTTTCCATCCAATGCCCAAAGACGTGGTAGGTTAACTGGCTTCTAGTAAAATTGGCACTAGCATGTATGTGTTCCCAGTGATGGACTGGTGTCTCATCCAGGGTATATCCAGCCTTGCGTCTGTTGCAGCTGGGATAGGCTCCGACCTCCCCATGACCCTGATTTGGACAAAGCAGTTAGAAAATGGATGGAGCAATGTTAAGTAAAGGTTCTAGTGAAAGCAGCTTTACTTCACTGGGAACCTCCAGTCTCTCTTCCAACGTCATTGGAACCTGGGCCTCTTGGATCATATATGAGTCTCTGTACTACACAGACCTATGTAGCCAGTAGGAAGCAAAGAGCCTTGGAGAGCAAGATGTGATGCATTCACGGCCTTTTTCTAAGGAGTTCTGGTTGCAGCAGTCCTACTGCACTTTAGGTGATCAGAGGGCAAAGATAAACAAAAGACTAATAGAAAAATACTATTTTAATGTTCCATTACATGTTTGAAAATCAATAAATAAGACTTCTCAAAGCTATAAGATGGAACTTAAAAGCCAAAAAGCAACATTTTGATGTAATGAATGTACAATATATTGTTCTAACGTTTATGCATCACTATTTGATTCCCCAACACGTTTCTTTTCAAATTTAAATTCCTCTGCAACTCCTTGTGGTCTTTGCAAAGCACACTGACTTTCAAAAGCATTTTTTACCTAGAACTGTTAATGATACACATATGATAATTAAGCAAGAAGTACAGGGAAAGGTGTAAAAAGTAGAATGGGAGAACAAGGATAGTGCACATTTTCCTCTACACGTTTGTAGTTTACACTCGACGAACGTTAAAAAATAACGTTTAAAAAATATTGGTTGACACACTATAGTAATAAATGATTTAGTAGAGCCCTCGTTCAGCTCAACTTTCAGAATCTTTTGAAAGCGGCCTGCGTGTAAATGCAGTCCCAGTTTTTATATATCATTGACTTCAAATCACTTTTTTAAGCACCTGAATACATTATTACATGCCGCACTTTAGCGCTATCCGATCCTGCAGTTTTCAAACGCATAGAAGGCAGTATTTATTTCCCCTGCTGTAAGAAACTCGACGCTCTGCAGCGAGCGCTGCCGACACCATATAATAAAATGCGGACAATTCTCAAAAGGAGCGAGTTAGCGTTTAGCTGTAGAAAAACGCGAAGCAAACGCAATAGCGCCAATGACTCGAAACCCCGTGCTTGTGCTCGCTGTAGAGGAAGCGCGATTTTCTCCACAGCGATGCTTTACCTACGTGTTACTCAACACCAGCAGAGTTGCTTTCTTCACTTAGTTGCGCTGTCTGGTGTCCAAAATGCTGCCTGTCACGCCTAAAGAGTAATAAACACTCCCTGACTTCGTTCTCCTGAACTGCGCGTCAGTGTGGGCACCAGACAGTACGTGCACACAGCCTGTCCGCAAAAGTTTTAGAAAACGTAACCCGAATCGGAGCGAGAAAATACATCATCCCCTAAACGGAATCAAAGCCTGTCGTGGCTGTAGCCGTTGCGTGTGAGAAATGTCGCCATTATTACTCAATAAAGTGTATTTTGTCGGGTGTATTGTCCATCTGGCATTTCCGATGTGGCAAAGACGACAGGCAGGCTTTTTTTAGCACGAGCGCACCCCTTGCGGGAAGTCGCACAAGCACATGCGGACTTTCCTAGCCCAGCAGTCCGTCTAAAGCTGCTGGGATAATTACCTGATATTTCACCAACAACAAACAGCACTAGACATGAAACTATTCCTCGTGAAGCATAAAAACTAATTCCCCCAAGCAACCCCACTGGCCTGTACCATATTTGCAACACATCAGGAAATTGCAGAGCAAGAACGCTCGATGTATTAAGTGAAATATGCCCCTGCATTGTTTTCAGGTTAAGCATTTTCATGCCCAGAAGGAAACAGTCGAAACGAGGCGGAAAACTCGGGTGGCTCGAGTTTGTAGTATTTTGAAGTGGGTCAGGCAAAATTCTGAAGAAAAACTCGCCTAAGCAGCAAAACGTGATCGGAGGCAGAATTGCACATTAGCTCTGAATCGAAATGACAAATGTAGAAGAGTGCAGGGGAAAGAGGGAGAAAAGCAGACGTGTGAGAAATAATAAGTTACCTTCTTCGTGCTCTGCCTGCCTTGCAATGCGCTCTTCGCCAACCGAGCGGTGGATTTCACCCCAGCCCCTCTGACCGGGAGAGTGATGTTCCCGAACCTCGTCCTGCGAAGCCGACCCCTCGCCACCTCCCTCTCCAGGACCACCTTCACTTTGCTGCGAGTGAGCTTCTCCTCAGACAGCCGCTCGTGGGAGCTCAGGAATCCCAATATTTCCTTTAAGCCGAGAGACGTGTGTCCCCTAGATGCACACGGACCCCTCCTTTCCGCCAGGCTCCGCACAGAAGCCACTAACCGGTCACCCAGGTCTGGGTTGGGCTCGTCTGAACTGCTGCGGCTCGCCTTCGGAGCGGGACCGACCTTACATTTGGGTTTGAGATGCGTTTGTGTGTGCCCGTGGTGGCTGCAAGTTCTCCGTTGTTTATTACTGTTGTAGCACTCGCGTTCAGGCAAGCTTGCTTCCACCCCGCGGGTACCCCTGGTCTTGTTAGCGAGAGAGCTTCCATTATCCGTGCCCTTCTCTCGGCTCGGCTCTTGCGGTTTCTTCTCTCTGGACGCACTTGCGTTCACGCTGCTGCCGGGAGCAGCGCGAGGTTGACTTTTGCAAGCCGCTGCGCCACAGCACAGACAACTGTTTCCGCTACTCGGGACCAAATCCCCTTCATCCTTCTCACTAATACCTCCCGTTTTGGGCTGGGGGTCGTCGGACTGCCTCGCCCCACAGCCCTCAGCTCCTTTGCCGTGGGGATCCTTTCTTTCTACGGGACTGGGAGCGGTGTCGCCGTCGTTGTTAAGATCGGCATTTTTGGTCTGATCCCCCACGGCACCGCCGCCACCAGCGCCAGCGCCTTGGTCTATTTTCTTTCGGCTTTTCCTCTGCACCTTGGCCGCGTTGCGATACGAAATGGACCCTTTGTAGCTAACTTTCAGTACCGTTTGCTCCTGGATCAGTTTCTCCAGTTCCAAACGGGTTCGGTCCGGGTCTGACCCGTGTCGCCTCCGTACCATTCGGCATATTCTATCCAGGTCCGGTCGAGCTTTTCTTGAGCGCAATGAATCAATAGTCTCCAAAATCCAGTCGCGGTACTTCGGCTCGGACATGGTGCTGGGCTGGGCTCGGTTTGGTTGCACCGAGTACCTTTACTGTGTCTTCTCCGAAGTGACGCTGCTGCTCCGATCCGGTCCGAGCCCGGCTGGGAATGAAGCGGAAGCCTTGCTCTACGCCTGCGTTACCCACATTGTGTATTTAAGGTGGACTGGCAGAGATCGAGCGCGCTAGTGCAACAGTGAAGGCAAGCGTTTTAAGATGGTACTGGGACATTGATACTTCTTCCTCCCGTTTCTATTTTATTTCCGTGAAAATAAAGTGCGACTGGACCCAACTTTGTTTTCGCTAAAACAAAAAATAATAAAACTAATTTAACCGAGCTGTGTGATTTTTTAATATCAACATTTTTCAGATTTTATTTTATAGCCCACACTATCGCCATTTATTTCTTTCGGGTTGGTGTGTAATTACTTTTTTTCGAGATATGCATAATGATTTGTACCCTGAGCGTGCCACACGCGTGTGAATATTTGGTTTATTGATCTAATTTAATTCTTAAACATTCCAAGCTTTTTGGTAAAGACATAAGTAAATTTAAAAGTGTTTTAAAATAATGAATGTCAAGACTGCGCTTAATGCTATTGATATAATAAAAACTTGACTACAGGTTGTTAACTTCAAGCTACATCCACCCTTTGCATGTTTCTATATACCTACAAGGTTGTATTTCGAAGGCGAAATAACTGCACCCAGGGTGTGATGCTTCAGCCACAGCATGGTTTTAAAGTCTCTTCAAAGTAAATTAGATTGCACATTAGCACAAGGGCTTATACAAAGGAATCAATGTATTCCCACCAACATCTCCATTCAGGACTTAGCAGATGCAAACTGGCCGCCATCTAGCTCTTGCTTTGGGGCTAAATAATTTTCCACTTAAAGAGAGGTACCACTTTGGAATTTCGCCATTTTGTTCCAGATTAAAGCTGACTACAGACTTGCAAGAGTGGTTATTGAAAAGATATTCGAAGTCATTTAACCATTACTCTTGAGTTATTATGTTTAAACTCTCAGTTCAGAAGAGGATTTCACGACACGCGCTCCATACCGTTCACGTGCAAAACCTTAAGTGATACAAAATGAGCAGGTCAGGATTTCATTGTGACCTGCCACGGTAGTGAGAACTTATTTTATTCAAAGTACTGCTCTCGGAAGCGCAAGAGCAGCCATGTTGCGATTTTCGAAGCCTAACATAATTGTACCTAAACATGGAAAATTAACTAGTTAACCCTATTTTAATTATAAATTAACATATAAAAGAGAATACATCTGAGCACTAGGGCCCTGGTTTCAATTCCGGACCTGCGCTGTTATCTGAGTGGAGTTTATGTTTTTCCGTGTTCGCGTGGGTTTTTGCTGGGTGCTCCGGTTTCCTCCAGTCCGAAGACATACTGTAGGTTAACTGGTTTCTGTGGAAATGGACACTGGTGTGAGTGTGTGTTGTGTGATGGACTGGCGTCCCGTCCAGGGTGTGCCCTGATGAAGGAGAAGAAATTAATAAGGATATGACGATTCGCGCTCCTATTCTTTTTCCTACAGAAAAATAGTTTTTCTTGAAGAACGCGCGACACCGATACATCTCTGCCTATCTGGCCCATAGGATTTAACATAGGTGTGTGGATTATTTCAAGTTAAACACGATTTTTGTAGCCATTTTATAATTGGCGCAAAGGTTCCGTAACAATAGTAGGTGTACTGTTCGATTAAAGAAACGAGCGGAGCACATACGCCTCCATAAAAGGCATTTTATTTTGTCACAAGTAATTTTCTGGTAGGTGGTCCTGTTAATAAAAGTGGAACAATCCCATGTTAATGTTTATCCATGTAAATTCACTATGGGGGACACACTCTCCATCAGATTTTTACAAGTTTTTGTACTTTCATTTATTTAAAGACGCCTTCATTCCGCTTTACACAATTGTATCAGGGTAATACTACTGGACCTATAATAAACACTTACCACAAGTAGCCGGTATTACCATAGTCCCGTGGTTGTCCCGTTTTGAAAAGCCAAATGAAGACTGAGCTCGCAGGATCATCGCTTAGTGTCAGGATATATCTGGTTTTCAGGTTGCGCATGAGTTTATAAAACGTTTAAACTACTGAAATATATATATATAGTTAAACATTCCAATAACCGATAAAGTGGTGGACATTATTAAAATATTTCAAGGTTCATGTAGCGAATTTAAAAACGTACAATGATCTTGAGTTAAAAAAATGAACATTTAGAAGAAAACGACAAGTCACTGACGCACAGTTTTCCAGATGTTGTATAGCGAAGCGCCTTCCTAGCCTCCCACTCGGCTGCGTTTGCGGCTTTCGCATCTGTCCACCTCCGCGCCGCCGCCACTTTGCTGAAGCGGCTCCGCCGTGCGCTGGTGCGTGCGTGCATGAGTGCGCGCTGGCCTGAGCGCCTGGGGGGATGGTGGCGCTGAGGCCGGGCGGGCGAAAAGCGAACTGAGCAGCAAAAGCTCAGGTCGGAGACAGTTCTGAAATACTGAGATAACCAGAGAAGCTAAATTTATATTGAGCGATATCTTCAAATACCACTTTGCACTTCAAATACTTTTTTCATCTTCACCAGGGAAATATTTTAAGAACGTTTTATTTCGAGAAACGTGCTGCTATTTCTTACTTAAACATATTGTTCCTTTTCATTGAGCTGTTACAGCCCTACGTTTCACGGGCAATGTTCAGGGTTTTTTTTCCTGGTAGCTGCGTCTTGCTCCATTTTCTGCGGCGGAGCAATCTGTTCTGATCACAAAACGAAAGAAATGTCTCGGGGAGGCGAACGTGTACTGTATAAGGAGGAGATTCGTGTTTACCCTTTCTGTGTGAGCAAGAACAAGACAAGTGATGGAAGTCGATAGTGCCAGAGAGTTCGAAGAGAGGCTGCGGAAGTTAACACGTCGCTGCGGCTCCTAATTCAGACGAATTACAAACCAGCAGTAATTAGGAGAATTTAGGTGTTGCAGAGGGGAAACAGGGTTTCGTGCTGTCCTTTTACCCATAATACCACGATTCTATGACGCAGCTCAGGTGTTTAAAGGATGCCAGTAAACATAAAACGTAGAAACGTTAAACCTTGGCTGAAGCTCTATTGATACGAGGAAAACTGAGGAGATACAAATTATGAATTCATTTCACATTCTTGTTGTTACTATTATTTCCATGTTTCAGTTCTAAAATGCAGTTATGTGCTATTTGTCTTGATCTAATTTGTGCTCTCTACAGTCAGAATACTGATTTTTTCACTTGGCCTTAATTGAGGTCCCTATCATTCTGCTCACTATTTTTTATATGTAAAAACTGCTTAATCTGTTATTTATTCCCCTTAAACCTTTAATTTATTTACAGGTAATGCCAGTCAAATGAAATGCCGCTGAAAAGATCAAGTTCCTGTAGTCCATTCACAGGCCTTATACCCTTAAGGAACAGAATGAGCTTTCCTTCTCCTCTTTTGACTTTCTTGCAAGCTTTGGTATTCCTTTTGTAGCATGGAGGCCAGAACTCAATGCAGTGCTCCAGATGTGGCTCTAGCTAGGGAACTGTGAAATTTCAGCAGAATGTTTGTTGACAGGACCTCTTCACCCTTTACTTTAGATCTTTTATATTGTATCTCTGCTTTGCCTGGATGGCAATTGTAGTGAAACTATTACAATGCCTTACTTATTTTGTCTTGGCCACGGTGATATTGTTAAATGTGATTGTTGCTGGAACCATGGCCATATATAATATTACTTTCCTGATGTGGTAGAGCCTGTGCAAATTAGGATATATGCTCAAAAGAGTAGGGATGATATCCTGGTGCTCTGGCTAAATTCTACACTAGGGTCACTCACCTTAATTTCCCCCTCAGTTCAGAAAATTTTCAGTTCTCAGTCTGATCTGTGTAGCTAGTAGCCATGCACCACCTACTGTAGGTAGAACCTGTACTTTTGTGGTGAAGAAAGTGGACCCTCTTTGAGATATGAAAAAAAATAATAAAAGACTGTATTTTGCCTGTGACTTATCTGGGTTCTTTTAACAAGATTTGACATTCAATTTTGAGTGAACCAGACTTGAAATACAACTGATATTATTTAACTTTCAATTTCAATTACTTTCCCTGTATCAGTAAAACATACTTTTAGTTTCTCCTCTGACAACCTCCATTACCTTCATTATAAAGTTATTTTTAGCAGTGAGGTGAAAAATAAATACATGCCTCAATTATAAAGTGACAATATTTTGCTGAAGAAATTCCATCTTTTTTTAGTTGTTGACATTTTCTATTCATACAATTCGTAAAATTGGAGAAAACATTAATTTGACAATTTTGTATATAAACTATCATTAGTAAAACACTACAACATTTAAATATATAAAGTATAAGACCTCTTAAATTTATCCACCAAATTGAGTTGATGTGTGCTGTTGCTGTTGTTGGGAAGACTGGGAGAGTCATACAAAATGTGTATCAAAATCACAAAACAATCACAGAAAACCTGTTTTAAATCACAGAGAAATTAACTGATTAGTTGGTCCCATACTAGTTTATTTATAAGCAGTCTGAATTAGGTATTCTAACTGAACACAGGACTAGAAAGAAGCACTATTTTTGTAAATTTGATCTGTATTCATCACTGTATTACAGAACAGCAAAATTAAAATATAAAATAATTTGCTTTTCATCTAGAAAATAATTGAAAAAGTTACAAACCAAGGTCACTGTTGACTGATTGGTAGGCCTTAATTTTGCTTCTTTCCATCTATCCACTTTCTAACTGCTTTATGTAATTCAGAATCACAGGGGAGCCAGAGCCTATCCCAGGAAGCAATGGGCAAAAGACGAGATACACTCTGGACAGGATGCCAGTTCATCAGACAATTCATCTGCTAGTATGTCTTTTGACTATGGGAGGAAACCCATACAGTACATAGAGAGAGCATACAAACTCCAGACAGATAGCATCCCGGGTGCAGAACTGAACCCAAGACCCCAGCAATGCTAACCACTGCACCACTATGCTGCCCTAGTTGTTATTTTAACTTCATACAGTAAATATATTGTAACGCTTACGGCTGACAGGCACTGTGTAAGAGCCGGTGTACCAGAGCAGGTGATGTCACCGCCCTTCCCTGTGATAGCAGGACTACAGATACTGGGCTGTGGAGAGATCTCTCTTTAGCTCACGGGGCTAGGTCGCTGCTATCACAGGAAAGGGCGGTGATGTCACCTGCTCTGGTACGCCGGCTCTT